CCAGGTGATACAAAAAATGCATCGGAGACAACACATATGGAAGGTATTCAGTCCCTCCCACACTAAAGACAAATACAGTCTGTCCCCTGTCCAGCTCCCTTGATTTTGCTGGTTTCAGGACTGCCTCTTTGCCTCAGCCTGCTGAACAAGTGCCTCTTCAAATTTGGAGAGGCCATGATGCACTGCCTGCCTCCAGGCTGAACGCTCAGATGTCAAGGTTTCCCATCTGTTGAAGTCCATTCCTAAGGCCTTCAGATCCCGTTTGCATGCAGATATCCTTGTATCGCAGCTGTGGTCTCCCTCTGGGGCAATGTCCCTGCACTAATTCTCCATACAGGAGATCTTATTGGAATCCGACCATCAGCCATTCTCACGACATGCCCAAGCTGACGTAGACATTGCTGTTTCAGTAATGTATATATGCTAAAAATTCCAGCTCGTTCTAGGACTACTCTATTTGGAACTTTGTCCTGCCAGGTGATCCCAAAAATGTGTCGGAGACCGACGCATATGGAACGTGTTCAGTTTTTTCTCATGCCGTGCACAAAGGGTCCAGGACTCACTGCAGTACAAGAGTGTGCTCAGGACACAGGCTCTATAGACCTGGATCTTGGTATATGCCATCAGCTTCTTATTAAGCTGTACTCTCTTTGTGAGTCTAGAGCACGTGGTAGCTGCTCTGTCAATGCATTTATCCAGCTCGACATCTAGGGAGAGAGTGTCGGAGATAGTTGAGCCAAGGTACACAAAGTCATGAACAACCTCCAATTCTTGTGTGGAGATGGTAATAGAGGGAGGTGAGTCCACATCCTGGCCCATGACTTGTGTTTTCTTCAGGTTGATTGTTAATCCAAAATCTTGGCAGGCCTTGCTAAAACAATTTATGGGTTGTTGGAGGTCTTTGGCAGAATGGGCAACAACAGCTGCATCATCAGTGAAGAGGAAGTCATACATGAATTTTAGCTGGACTTTGGTCTTCGCTCTCAATCTAGAGAGATTAAAGAGCTTTCCATCTGATCTAGTCCAGAACAGAAGGTTGAGGGATTTATTAACAGAAAGTGACAGTGAGTTGTATCCACTGCTACCTGTCGACCAGTGAAATGCAATCTCCTTGTGAATGGATTTTCCTTCTTTCTTCCCAAAGTAGATTTGGGCATATCCGGGCAAGGAATGCAGTGAGATTCCCTCTAGCCCCTAGAAAATACTAAAGAGAGAGTTGGGGACCCTTATAAATAGGATGAATGAAATTAATTGGAAAGACAGATCTTAGATGCAACTCAACTATCGTAGATGACAAAACAATTGTGCAGAACAGCAATGCTTGCTATTAGCAGGACAGATGGCATATACTTTTGTGTAACACTCAGGATACACACATTACGATACGGACCTGAAGAACAGTTTATCTGTGGTAGCCTATTCCACAAGGCTTTCAAAAATTATGCAAGATAGGGAATGGAGAGAATTAGAAATCAATGTTCTTGCTAATAGTCAGTTGGGTAATGTCAATTTCTGTGTCACCACTGTGTCTTTACACATTATTTCCTTCTTTACAGATGGGAAACCAAGGACAAGAAATACGTTTGGCATTACTCGAATAAACTTCATATTCACACACTCCATCTCTCTATTGTGTACTCTAGTTCTATTCACATGCTTTCTCCTTTGCTGATATCGCTACCATTTTACAGTAGCCAGAAGTCACATTCTAAGATTTCCCTTTTTCTATTTCACTTACAGAATATACTGAACAAGTTCTGTGTTTCTTGTTTGCAAACCTTAAAAAGCCTCTTGAATATGCTGTATTCCACATGAACCTCGTTTGAGAAAACGGTTCTCTTAGATAACTATCTATTGATTAGCAAATGTTGGTGCACACCAGGAAGACAAATGGGGATGAGAAATAGAGGATGACAAATATAGAAGCGGTAGAACGTAAGCAGCCTGAGATTAATTAATACCCATCCTATTAGAACTATTTATGCCAAGAAACTCTGGAACACTTCCTTAGGTTTTCCCTGTCAACTAAGGGATGGCAAAATAATTTTTCATAGTCACTCAAGTAGGTCACACAAAGCATTTCCAAAAACCTGAAAGGAAAAACAGTGGAATTTTAGAAGCAAATTGTTCTCATTTATTACAGAAAAACAAGTGCACATGGTGGCTTTTAACACAAAATATTATTCTATTTTTGGTATAGCTACTTGTGGTGATCACCCTGCTTTGGCTTATGTAGGAGGTTATCTGCATGTACCAATGGGAGCTGTTGGGAGGCGAAGCCAGATAAACTAGAAGGGAGGGGTGAGGCAGAGGAGTTTGGTGAATTAGTCAGTTTGAGTCAGAGATGAGAGTCTGAAGTGAAAAGTCAGTTAGAGGGTCAGGAGTTAAGGGATGCAGTTACAGTCATGGCCAAAAATATTGGCACCCTGCGATTCCGTCAGAAAATGCAAACCTTCTCTCACAAAATTGTTGCAGTTGCTAATGTTTTGGTACTCACACGTTCATTTCTTTGGTTTGCATTGGAACAACACACACAAAAAGAGAGAGGAAAAGTCAAATCTGATACAATCCCACACAGAAACCCAAAAGTGCACTGGCCCAAATCTTACAGTCATGGCCAATATTTTTGGTCATGACTGTAAGAGTGTGGAACTTATAGAGTGTTAAGAGAGTTAAGAGTGAAACAAGTTATTACAAAACTAGTGAATACTTCAAGTCTTTGGAGAAGCTGTTTATCTGATCTATAACCAATAAACTTGTTTTGTTCAACTTTACACTCAGCATGGACCTCAGTCTTTCTAACTAAACATTGTTGACGGAGATCAACTGGTAGCAGCGTAAAAGGAGAATGTGATTTGGGCCTCAGGCTAGTGAAATAATCTGGGGACACGTGAGGGGCACGTCACAATACTTCATAAATAACATCTTCTCTTCAACTGTTACTGGAGTCACCCTCACAAGCTCCACAGTCTGAACAGTACATTTCTAACCAAATCATATTCAACTACAGTACAGCAGTGTTTTGGTTTACGTACGCCTCAGTTTACATAATTTCCGGGTTACGAACGGAAATCTGTTTGAAATAATGCCTTGGTTTATGGTTTTTTTTTTCTGTTTCCTTCGGTTTGCAAAGGAAGTTTCCCCGCGCCTGGAGGTTTCTAGCGCCACTGACATTGCTACGGCAATTCGCGTTTCAGTTTATGAAATTTCTACATGACATAACATTCCGGAGAATGTATTAATTTCATAAACTGAGGTACTATTGTATCTCATTCCATTTCTTACAGGAATCCCGTGGCGCAGTGGTTAAACTGCAGTACTGCAATCAAGCTTTTGCTCATGACCTGAGTTAAATCCCAAGAGATTCAGGTAGCCAGCTCAAGGTGGATTCAGCCTTTCATTCTTCCAAGGTCAATAAAATGAATACCCAACTCACTGGGCGCAAAGTGTTGCTTGTCTAATTATGTTGGAAACCAGTCAGAGTTAGCATTATATGGCAATATATAAGTCGAAAAAACAAGAACAGGTAGACCCCCCTACTTTCACAAAAAGGAAGAAAAAAGTCAAAACAGATCCTGGGCATCTTCATATCCAGTATCTGCTCTGTTCCCTCTCACCATATAGGTCATGGAGGAACTGAAACACAGAGAGCTTGGCTCGCCCAAAGCCATAAAATTCAGATTTGGCAGATATGAGGCCAAAAATCTGCTTCACTCCCACAATGGAACCAGGACAGATGTCAATGCAATAAAAATATGTAAACACTCCTTTTGACAGAAGAAAAATGCAATTCATTTTAACCTATGTGAAAGCATACTGACTTTACAGGCAGAGTTAAACCTAAATTGCTCCTCCCTCTTCCCTTGAAATCAGTGGGACTGTAAAATAAAACTGCTCCCTATTTAGAAACCAGTGATTGAACACGAATAGATTCTAGTTTACTAGAAAAGCTTGACAACAAAACGAAGAAGCAAAAGGACACTGTAAAAAGTTGTGGGGGGAGGGGGAAAACAAGTTATTAACTATTATGGCTGAAATATTCCTATTCTGTTCTCCATGTGTCATGTGAAGGGAGCTATGGGGCTAGATTTGAAATGCCATACAATAGAAAGGCTATTTGTGAAGCATTACCACGTGTGTACTATGAAATGTTTGCGATGGGATTCATGTGAATGATTGCACAATTGGGTTGCATAATCGTTGTTTTCACAGCATAATGCCAGGCTCTTATGATGGCGAAAAATTTGCATTACATGAAGACAGAAGATTTCAGCCTATGGTTGTTGTGGGTTTTTTGGGCTCTTTGGCTGTGTTCTGAAGGTTGTTCTTCCTAACGTTTCTCCAGTCTCTGTGGCCGGCATCTTCAGAGGATAGCTCTCTGTGAACAACCTTCAAAACACGGCCAAAGAGCTCGAGAAACCCACAACAACCATTAGATCCCGGCCGTGAAAGCCTTCGCAAATACATTTCAGCTTATATTTGTTATCTGAGAAAAATCTGACATTTGGAACTTAACTTTCTTAATTCAAAGAAATAATCTGTCACCAAATTTAAGGTGATCTAATTTAGTGTTCTCCGAAGTCACTCCTTAATGAACTGTGGGTAAGCTAAGAAGGCTGGGTTCAGTAGGGATGATGAGGTGTGTGCATAATGCTGCTGAAGGCAGAGGCAATCCCTCTTCTTTTCCCCCAAATAATAGATCTCAACGTAACCCAACATCATCAGCGAATGTCATTCCCACAACCATTTGCAGCCCAGTGTTCAAAGGATGTGGCAGAAGTGCTCTTGCCAACCACCCACACAAGCCCCAGATGGGTTTTTACCACCATACGTGACACGTTTCCCAATTTCATTTCATTAAAATCCAAATGATGTGACAACATTTTGACACTAGCGATGGCTCCAAATTTCACCACCACCAATTTTTGCTGTGGAGAAATATCTGGTGAAAGTGGGGTGCCTTACATTAGAATGAAACAGCCCAAGGAGAAACTTAATACCTGTGATAAAAGGGCTTGCACAGTTGAACTGTAGCTGGAAGATAAAATATGCCTCTGTATTTGACTGGCATGTGATCAGGAATTTGGTATACACCACCATAGCCACCAACATCAAGAAAAAACCAGTACAAGGTATCTGCAGAGAATTAGAGATGTATCATCTACTTTGTGTTTATGTTCTAACTTATCTACAGTTTCAGTTTAAAATGGGAGGGGAGACACTCAAAGAGACCTTTAGCAGCAGGAGTGAAATTAAATTAGTTCATTACTAGAAGCATGAAGCATTAATGAAATGTAACTTTCTCCAACATTTATGCAGCGTAATTAAAATCTTTTATTCAAAATCTGTACTTAGCCAAGCATAAAATATTGCATCATCATAATAACTGCGCAGTGTAATCAAGAACTGAAGTATAAGCATCTCATTCGTTTCCATAACAGACTGATGACATTAAATTATTTGCACTGTTTGAAGTATATTCAAAAGGAAAGATGAAAAAGAACCTCTTTTAACCAGCCACTAAGGTTGCTAATTCATTTCCCCCCTATCTTTTAATTTTAAAAATGCAACCAAAGGATAGTCTCACTTTTATTCCAAGGCCCCCAACCTGTAAACTGTTGCAAAGTTTTTGTGGTGGAAAAAAGCAATGTTGTGATTACCAGCTTGTTCAGGGCAGGATGTGCAATGGCTGGGGAGTCCCCTAAGAAAATGAAACTTTAAAATCCTGTGAGGGCTGACCATCTGGCCCTGTCATGAGTTCTGGAGTGGGATTTGAGGCCAGGCTCCAAACAGATCTTGTTCCATACCACACAGCTTCCATACTTTGCTGTCAAGGCTTCCTCTGGCAGATGGAGGGGAGGAAGGGTAAGGCCTGTAAACTTGATCTATATTCTGGTCTGAGTCTTCAGAGAGGCAGCTGCAGTTAGTCTGTTTTGATTAACAAAAAAGACTAACAGATTTATTTTAGTGTGAGTTTGGTGGGTAGGATTACAGTTCACTTTTAAAGACATACTTTTTCAGTCTCAACGGCACAGCAGCACTAGTCCCCAACCTTTTAAACACCACGGACCAGTCGGGGAAAGCAGGGCACCCCCTGCATTTGTGCGCATGTGTGAAGGGGGGTGCTTGTGCGGGCACACTCACACGCATGCACAAAGGGGGTGGGGGCACTCACATGCATGTGCAAAGGAGCTGGGGGGAGGGTGTGCAGGAGGGTGGGAGATCTCCGCAGCCCGGTCCGTCCCAGGCCGCGGACTGGCACTGGGCCGCAGATGGGGGGTTGGAGACCCCTGCGCTACAGTACTTCTTTTTTATTCTTGTCCTAGTCCACATGGGAAAGGAAAGATTTTCTCAGATAAAGGGATTACTGATCTTCAAGCTAGGGGAGGGGGTAGCAGCAAATAAAGGACCAGCCAGCTAGGCCAAATGACCCGACAAATGACAAACTGATTTGTTGTTCATTCGGGGGAGGGGGGAATTCGTTGTTTGTGAAGTTTGACAAGCCATGAACCAAGACAAAGTGCTAAAATGGCGCTTCGTCCCCATCTCTAGAAACTATTCTTTCTCTTCAGCCAGATGTGAGGTAATTTTTGGTTAAACTGAAGCGGGGAAGAAAAATATAGCAAGCACTTTTTTAAATGACACATTAAAAAATACTAGTAAGTAACTGCCAGTTTCTCTGGTCTGTGGCCAGTTACTGATCTGTGGTAAGTGGTAAACACAGCTGGGTCTTGTGGATGCATTTCATCCAGCATCAGAGTCCACCACTTTATTGTTGCAGTTAAGCTTGAAAGAAACAGGGTTAACAGTGATCTTCAAGCTATGACTTACAGACCACTGGAATCCCTAAAATAGGCATGGGAAAGATGACTTACAGACCACTGGAATCCCTAAAACAGGCATGAGAAAGATCAAAGCACATATATGCATATTCTCTTGCAAACTGTAAGCTATGCTCTGACATTGACAACTCCAGGGTTCTAAGAAGGAGTTACCCAAGAGCACAAGGATTGTTAACATAGAGCTGCAAGTCAGCATTATACCTAAGGTATCTCAGCTAAAAGGAACACATTTCTATTTCTAATAAAAGTAAGACTTTTTATCTTTTCAATGTGAAATTTGGTATGGATGGGCCCCTTTCGAATGAGTATAAGATGTCCACATTTCAGAGAAATCAGAAGAAAGCGAACGTATAGTACTTAAAAATAAAAAAATGAGTGTTTAACCTTCTCCCACTAGCTGTTGAGCAGAGAGACTTTTTAGCCCCCAGTTTGTTAAGTGTGTGGGTAAATATGAAGCACTTGCTTCTCAATAAGCTACAGCCATTTGTGAGTCTCTAATAGCTGTTCATAAAGTATGTCTTTACTTTATATCTCATGGTGTTAAGGATATTGACTACAATTCTTTTAAAAAAGAGAAACATCTCCTAATGGAATATTTCCTCAGGATCCCCAGAAAGTGCAGAAACCTGAGATTAATTGAAGTCACTAGCTACTGCTTTGAGGGGGGAAATAGAGCTGAAAGTGCATTTATGTTATAACCGCAGCAGGGAAAAATATGAGGTTTTGCGTTTTTTGGACTGTTCAGCAGGATTCTTTACTCAAATTTTCATGCTGCATCATTGATTTTACATAGCTATATAGAAAGGGTACCATATTCTCTCTGGCCTTTTCCCTTCCTTGAAAGAGAAATGGGAATTTGATTCACCCACACACTTTTTTTAAAAAAAAGAAGAATTTCAAAACAATGTCTTTTTAAGCACAGCTTTGCCTGTTCAATTCATTAGCATGAGTCACAGGAGGACTTTCTTTGACTATGGAACTGCAGAAGACAACTTAAGACCAGGTGGCTTTTTTCTTTTGTCAACCAATCATGAGTTGGATCCAGACTTACGCTGAGCTTAGAGTATACTCAGTGGAACTTAAGTTTAGAGGACTTTCTTTGACTATGGAACTGCAGAGGACAACTTAAGACCATGTGGCTTTTTTCTTTTGTCAACCAATCGTGAGTTGGATCCAGACTTACATTGAGCTTAGAGTATACTTAAGTTTATCAAAAACCGCTGGACAGCTCAGTGGTTTAGGTCTCTGGCTGCGGAGCCAGAAGTTGAGAGTTTGATTCCCCACTGTGCCTCCCTGATGAAGGCTAGACTTGATGATCCCTAGGGCCCCTTCTGGCTCTGAATTTCTAAGGTTATTTATAACCAGTTTGTCCAATTAATTTCAAGAGCTCTGTTCTAAGCACAGCTAAATTTGTACCCACACTGGCCCTTTTAGTGTGGGCTGCTGCAGTCTAAATAGGGTTGGGGTGGGGCTAGATGTACCATTTGGTGTAATCCTAAGTGATGTGCTGAATCATTTATATTAGATTTTCCAAAAAAAAAAAATTCTTCCCCTTGTGTGTAGTACTGATTGAGAAACCATCTAAAGCCATGTTTTGATCACTTCGTACAAGGGCAAAGAAAGAAAATATATAAAAATGAATCTAAGTAATTCATTGCATCAGTGCTAAATTTAATCTAAGTAATTTAGCACAGGCAAAATAACAGATTTATCTTTCCCAGCCCCTCTGCAGAAGAGCAGGGGAAGCATTCAATTTGCCAATATATGGGAGTGGCACACTTATTAAGCCACTTCACAATATTGGAAATTGAGAGCAGAAGGAGCTTTAGAAGCTTTGAAAGCTGTGAGGCTCAAATTTGGTCCATTCCCAGTGACTGCACGTGCTGGGAATGGACCAAAGTAGAGTGCACCTATATACACCAAAAAAAGTAGAAATTTCTGACAGGGGCTCCAAAAACTGAAGGTAGGAATGCTCTGGGCACAGACTGGTCTGCTCTAGTGATCAGCTTGTCTGACTGCCAGAAAAAAAAAGAGTGAACCAACCCATCCCCCACAGCATCAGCAGGATAAATGATCGAGCCCTCAGTAAGTTATAGAATTAAAAGTTCCAACCGCCAACGTGTTGCTCTGAGAAATCAACTCCAGGAAGAAGAGGATGAGAAGAAATGGAAACCTGCATAGGTTTTAGCCATCCTGGTGGTGATGGGAACTGGGGGTGGGGATTCCACATATTCAGAACAGTTACACTTTCTCCTGAAAAGATTTACAGTGGACCCTTGACTTACAGACGGCTCCACTTACAGACTTTTCGAGTTACAGACTTCTCTGGCCGCAAAATTTAGGTTCGACTTGCAGACCTACAGACCAGGAAAAAAAAAAACCAAAATAGAACAAAAACGGCCAGTTACGGATTAACTGGTTTTCAATGCATTGTAGGTCAATGGAGCCTCGACCTACAGACTTTTCAACCTGTAGCCACCGTTCCAATATGGATTAATTCCGTAAGTTGAGGGTCCACTGTATATTTTTTTAACTCTACTTATTTGACAAATTGCCTGCAAAGAGCGAGCATGGGGACTCACAATTTGTGATTCGCGACCAAATCTGAGTTGTCACACTTGCGACTTGACTCAGACTTGAGTTGGACCTTTTTTGAAATGACTTGGACTTGACTCACAAAAAGGAACCATTTTTCTGAGTCGTGTTGCCAAGTCCCTCGCCACCACCTTTTCTCTTTCCCAGCAAGATCAAGAAGCAATGCCTGTGGGGGAGGCAGTGGGGAAGATAGGGAGGAATGCACTCCCATGGCTGTCCTCCCTGCTCCGCAGCTCCTTCTAACTCTAGGGCAAAGGGCCTGCACCCAGATGCATGTGCATAGGAGGCCTCTATGGCAGCTGTGGAGGAACACACTAGTCCAAGAAATTGGCTGCTGTGATTCCAACTCCCAGAATTCCCCAGGTATGAACTAACAACTCAGGTTTGGCTTGGGACTCGGACCCCAAGGCTTGCCAACATCGTATTCTCGAAGGCTTTCACAGCCGGGATCCGATGGTTGTTGTAGGTTTTTCAAACATACAACACAGCCAAACAGCCTGAAAAACCTACAACAACCACTTGCCGACATCCTTAAACAGCCTGAAAAGCCTACAACAACCACTTGCCAACATCCTCGGCACAAAGTTAGAATACTCTTGCAAAAAAATGGTTTTACTGATCTAATATTCTAGCAATAACGGTGGGAGGAAACAAAAGGTTTCCACTGTCATGAGGTCAAGGGATGGGATGGCCACAGCA